ATTCAAGAGAATCTATAAGAATTTAAACAAGCTTCTCAATGCCAATAATAATTACTGTTAACTGATTATGAAAAATAATAATGATTATCACAAATTTGTTATCAAGTTTCTGCACTTGATGGGAGAAGCAGAGATATTCAAGAAAGATTACAAGAATAACTTCATGAATAAGCTATCTCATGAAATGCAGAAAGCAGTGGCTGCTGTTTATATTATTATCAGAATTTTTAGTAAATTTTAGAAAATCTGCTCATGCACTTCTTGCATTCTGAAAAAGATTCAGACTGCCATCAACTGCTGAAATTCTGCTGAAACAGCTGCTTGCAATGCAGAACAGCAAGTTAAAAGTTCTGTACTCAGCTGTGAGAGCACTGCAACTTCAGTCTTCAAGAACAAGAACTGACTGAGATCAATTGTGTGTCACAATTGTAAAGATCTCAGTCATATGAAGCACAATTGCTTATACAAAAACAAGATGCCTGCAGAGGTTCAGAAGTTGAAACTCAATAATGAAGACAATCAGCTGAAAAAAGAGTAAGTCTAGAAGAAGTCTTCATTTTGAGCAGAAAAGTATTATTAAAGAAGCTGAATTTAAGCAACTTAATGGAAGAACAGTCATTTCTTGTACATAATAAATTAGTATTGAATGAAGTCACAATTTCAATCAATTCTCTTATTGATATTAGAGCAAATGGTTCAATTTTCATTGACACATGACTAGTGATGAACATGACTCAAATCTACAGTGAAAATACCCACTGATTGTCAGAGGTGTGCAGTATCAGAGACTTTAATGAAAATGCTGAATCATTCATCACATATCTTGTCTTCTTCCATCTGTGATTGAACAGATGTAAATTCAAAAATGTTTCTATACTGATTGCTAATTTGAGATAATATTTCTTGATTATTGAATGAAAATAGCTGGCAGATCACAATGTCTGCTTGAATATGACTGATTGAAAATTGCTCTGACTAAAGGAGCTTTCAGTAAAGAATACTGCACTGACAGTAATATTAAAGTCAGTATCATAAAGAATTCTACAGTGATTCAAACTGAATCCACAGCATCAAGAGAAAGCAGACTGTCAAGACAAATTGATAGAACTTGAGATTACACATGAGTGATGAAACCACTGGAAAGAATACAGATAAATGAAGAAAGATTCTGCTGATGAGACTTATATCTTAGATTAATTAAAAGTATCCCAAGAAACACTGGAAAAGCAAAATAATCAGTACTCTCATTAATATAAGATGGTGGACATGACATTTATTGACACAGCAGCATATTATTAACATATGAGAAAGACATCTGATAGCTGTCACATGACTTCACTTCAGAAAATTGACAGACTAATGAATGAAAAGTGAAAAGATATCAATAAAGTAGATAAAGATAATGAGAAGACTGATATTAATGAAAAGCTCTTAAAAATTTATAAGTAATTTTAAAATATATTCTTAAAGAAAATCTTGAATCAGTTGCTGTCACACTGTAAGAGAGTGAACTATAAGATTGATCTTCTATCTGGAGCAGATCTGAACAGAAATATAGATTGAGCACCACTGTATAAAATGAGTATGAAAGAATTGAAAACAGTTAAGAAATACTTGAAGACAAATCTAAAAAGAAAGTTCATTATATCAATAACTGCACTCTTTATATTATTAATTCTTATTGTATATAATGAAGCAAAACTGCACTTCTGTGTTGATTTCTGCAAGTTGAATGCAATCTCAAAACATGATCAATATCTTCTTCTCTTAATTAATGAGCTGATGGATTAACTGAATGAAGTAAAGTATTTCATCAAGCTTAATGTCTGTCAAGAATTCCACAGAATCTGTATGAGTGAGAAATCAGAAAACTTGACTAGTTTTCAAATATGATACAGATTATTCAGATACTGTGTGATTTCATTTGAACTCATAAATGAATCTGACGTCTTTCAGTAATACATCAATTCAATCTTTTTTGATTATCTGAATAATTTTATGATGAGATTTGTGGATGATCTGTTGATTTACAGCAAGATCATGAAGAAGCATGAGAAGCAGATGAAAAAGATTTTGCAATTATTAAAAGAAGCTGCACTACAGATCAGTATTAATAATGAGTGAATTCCAGTGTGCAGCACATTAAATATCTAGAATCCATAGTCATTACAGAAGACATTGAAATGAATTTAGGAAAAGACAGCTGTTATCATTAAGTAAACTGAATTATCAATAGTTCAGAAAAGTATTATTATTCTTGAGATTCTGCAATTTCTATCATCATTTTATAAAATTCTACAGCTGCATAGTCAAGCTTCTTTACCAACTCATCAAGAAGAATCAGTCTTTTATTTGAAGCAGCAATTGTCAGACAGTTTTTAACAAGCTGAAGAAAATGCTCACCAGTGCTTCAGTACTGCACCATTATAACTCAAATCAGAAAATGAGAATTAAGACTGACATATCAGATGAGACAATTGCTGAGATTCTATTGCAATAATTTGAAAAGGAATAATAGCATTCAGTGGCATTCTACTTCTCTTTAATGAGCACACTGGAAAGGAATTATGAAATACATGATAAGAAAATGTTAACAGTGGTATGTGCTTTAGCAGAATGACAAGCTGAACTGAAAGAACTGCAGCAGAAAGAAAGATTTCAAATTTTTACAGACTACTGAATGTTGAAATATTTTATAATAATTAAGAAGCTGAACATCAGACAGATCTGATGAACTGAATTTCTTTCATATTGTTATTTCAAGATCAAGTATCAATCAGACAAGAAGAACACACTGACAGATGCTCTCAGTCAATCTGAGATAAGAGTCAGAACAGACAAGTTAAGAATACACATTTAACTTAAATTAAAATGCTTGAATTTAAGAATCAGAACTGAACTGAAGAGCAAGCAGTTAAGAGAGACAGTACAGACAACAGAGAAGTCAGAAACTGCAGCACAGCTGAATGAAATTGAAGAAACAGATCAAGCAGCTGTTGCTTGAATTGTTGTGATTAATTAAATTACAGAATTACTAAAGTCTCTGCAATTGAAGACTAGCTGGAAGAAGAGATTATGAAGTCTGACAAGTGAAGATCTTCTATATTATAAAGACTGATTAATAATTCTCACTGAAGAGAATCTATCTCTACTGACACAGCTAATCAAGAAAATTCATGAGCAGTTATTAATGATTCATTCAGACAAAAAGAAAACTTGAGCTCTGATCAAGAAATAATATTACTGATTAATATTATAATAGAATGCAGACTGTTATATGAACAACTGCTGAGTCTGTCAACAAATCAAGATATCAAGAGATAAGACATCAGAACTACTGAAATCACTATTAATTCTTTACTGTATGTGACAGCACATCTCAATGAATTTCATGAACATCTCTATGATAAAATAAAAGCACAATGCAATCTTGATTATTGTATGTAGACTGAGCAAGAAATCCATCTCAATCTCAACTACAAGAAGAATTAACATGTGTGAGCTCACAAGATTATTTACAGAACATTACTACTGATACTATAAAGCATCAGACTCAATCATATCTGACTGAGAACTTCAGTTTGTATCTGACTTCTGAAAAGAGTTTATTAAAATTCTGAGAATTGAGCTGAAACTTTTTACAGCACACTACTGACAAACAGATGATCAGACTGAAATTGTCAATCAGTATCTAGCAATCTGATTGCAATCATATATAAGTCACTATCAAGACAATTGGAACAATTTATTGCTCATCATGAATCATGCTACAGCTGTCACAGTGCACACTTTCA